GGGGGGGGGGGGGGGGGGGGAGAAGAGAGAGACAGTGACGTAGTCACGTGGGTTGACGTGGGCGGTGCGAGTGCACGTCCTTGCACCTACAAGAGGCGGCGAGCGGGAGGAGGCGGGGCCGGCGGCCGGGCCTCCCGTGAAGCTTCGCGCGGGGAAGGACCGGAACTCCGGACGGGCGGCTTGTTGATAATATGGCGGCAGGAGCTGCCTGGGCATCCCAAGGAGGCGGTGGAACCCACACCCGGAAGAAGGGTCTCTTTTCCGACTAGTGCCTGGCTCCTGCGGACCCGGAAGTCCGGGCCAGTTGCTGAATGAGGGGAGCCGGACCTTCTCCGCGACAGTCCCCCCACACCCTCCGCCCCGACCGGGGCCCCGCCATGTCCTTCTTCCGGCGGAAAGGTAGCTGAGGGGGGCACTGCGGGGGACCAGGCCGGGGCTCCTGGCCGGCGGTAGGACAGGTGCGGCTGCAGGGGCTTCCTCGAGGGCGTTGGCGAGGCCTTCAATGAGTCTCAGCCTTGGCGCCGACGCCCCCCTCTCCCAAATGCCCCCGCTCTGCACGGTCCCTAGCCGGGAGGAAGAGGATGGCCGCCTCGGTCTAGGTCGGAGGGCAATTGTAGCTCTGGTGCAAAACTATACTGCAGCTCAGTGAACTTGAAGCTTGTTTGTTCAGGAGAGGCTTTTCTTTGTGTGTGTGTGTGTATGTGTGTTTCAAGATCAAGGAAATTTCTTTTGAACCTTCGTATGGAAGTCTCCTACTTTTTGGAATATTAAGGAATTTCCGTCTTAAGAAACAACGTGGGAGACACTTGTTCAATTATTGTCATTTTCCAGTTTCCTCTTTTTGAGGGAGTGGAGATGGGAAGGGGGTCAACTGTTATTCTTAAAATTACTTACTACTGAAGTTCCCTCATGATGCAGACTACTTTTGATGACTTAGCAAGTCTGTTAATTACGGGAGCCTTAACATTATAAACGAATTCCTTGTATTTCTGATTTTAAGTTGTTAGGGGCTACCCGGTTTTTCAGTAGGGACAGCATAATTTTTGTCTTGGGGAAGATTATTGCATTTCATTACAAATACATATCTAGACTTAAAAGTGCTTGTATTAGTTCTTGTTGCTTCGGAAAAACTTAAGGACTGAAAGGGGTTTTGGAAAAAGCATCAAACTAAATCAAGGTTTTAGGTTCACATGAGTTTTCTTATTAAGTGTGTAACCTGGAGCAAGCTATTTAACCCACTTTTCTCGAGAATCAGGTGATTCCTGAACACCATCTGACAAAAGAATTTACTATGTGCAGGGCTTTAGTAACATGCTAGGATGAATCAGTGAAACTGAAGCTTTATTGGTTAGTTACCTTCATAGGTCTAGCGTTACTAACTATACCTTGTTTGACAGGGATGAAGTGGGTAAAATTTTTATTTTAAGGGAAAAATAGTGTTGTAAAGGCTGATTGCATATGGTACAACACAATTTATTCTCTATATTCAACAAGTACTTTTTTGAGTGTCTACAATCTACTAGGCATTGTTCTAGGACCAAATGATTGAACGATCAATAAGACCAAGCCCCTGCACCTATGGAGTTTATTGTGGGCTACTATAGACAGACAACCAATAAGCAAACTTTCTCTGAATAAGGTGTGTGACCCTACTTACAAATTAAATAAAGTAATGAAAGAGTAACAAGAGGAAAAACATACTTTCCTTGAATGTGAGAGAAAAGATTCAGCAGGTAACTTTAAAACAAAATTAAAGGAACAGTAAGTAGGAGGTAGCTAGAGAGAGCAGGGAACAGCACTCTAGGCACAGAGAATAGTTAGGTGTCCATCCCCCTCCCCCTGCTCCCCAGTTCACCATGTGAGCTGGGCAGGCAGCTGATGATAGCTTTGTAGGTTATGTCTAGGTTTTATTCCAAATACAGACAGAATAGTATTTTTAATTTTTTGAGGAGGAATGATGTGATCTTCTATTTTTCAAAAGCCATTCCTAGATGCTTTTTGGAGATTGATGTGGCACAAATACCTTATTAGGGCAGTCTTATTTTAAATACCTTTATTTTTCCTCTCTTTTGACAAAGAAAGGTTTATTATGCTACATGTTTAAAATACTAGATATAGAAATGTCTTTTTAAAAAAGGTGTTACCTTAGTACTTTTTAGTACAGTATTTTTCTCTTTGCTTCTAAGTGTCTCTATTATATTTTGATTTTGTTCCTCTACTAAATCTTTTGAAAGACACTATAATTTCTTCAACTGCAGTTTCATGTCGTACCTGACATCAAAGCAAATGTTGTACCTGGTACTGGTGGCTCATGCCTGTAATCTTAACTACTTAGGAGGCTGAGATCTGAGAATCTAGGTTCAAAGCCAGCCTGGACAGAAAAGTCCATGATACTCTTATCTATAAGTAACCACCAGAAATCTGGAAGTGGTGCGGTGGTGCGAAATGGTAGAGCACTAGTCTTGAGCAAAAAAAAATCTCAGGGACAGTGCCCAGGCCCAGAGTTCAAGCCCACAACTGCCAGAAAAAAAAAAAAAAGGAAATTATGAAGTCATGCTTTTTTATTTCCACTCAAGGTTAGCACTCTACCATTTGAACCACATCACTTCTGGCCTTTTGAGTAGATCATACTGCAAGATGAATTCTCATTTGGCTTTTTAAAAATCTCTTCTCTTTGGGACTCTTTCTCATGATTCTTTTATTCCCACTTTTAGAAAAGTCTGAGGAATCTGTCCTGGCTTGAACTAGGGCCTGAGTGTTGCCCCTGAGTGTTTTTTTGTTTGTTATTTTCTCTAGGCGAGTGCTTTACCACTTGTGCCACAGTAGTACTTAGAAGTAGCATTTGGTGGTTAATTAAGAGTTAGGAACTTCCTGCCCTGGCTGGCTTTGAACTGCCATCCTCAGTTCTCAGTCTCCTGAGTAAGTAGGCATTCCAAGTATGAGGTATTGGTGCCTGGCCCAGCACAGACTTTTTTTTTTTTAATTGTGAAAATACTGTACAGAGGGGTTACAATTACATGGGCAAGATAATGAGTACATTTCTTATCAAGCATTGTAGCCTCCTCCTTTTTTTCCCCTTCCCATCCTCCCTCTACCCTCCCACCCAATCCTCCCCCCCCCCCCCACCAAAGTTGTAAAGTTCGTTTTCGACATAACGACTTGTACAGCTCATTGTTGCAGTGGGTCCACCTGTATCCCTATTTAAACGATTTGGTTTTTCCCTTCCCCTCCACAAATTATACGGACATCAGATACAGTGAAAGCAGGGGTTATACCATGTGGGAGGGACATACAAAGCAACAAAGAAATAATCTTATAAATGTGTTAGAAACAATCGCATGAAAGGAAAAAAACATTTGAATACATATCTTAGGGTTCATTTCCCTAACATCAATTTATCTGACCTTTTCTGCTTGTCTCAGACATATACTAGTTATTGCAAATAAGGGAAACCATGGGACCTATGTTTCTTTGGGCCTGGCTTACTTCACTTAATATAATTTTTTCCAAGTCTTTCCATTTCCTAACAAATGGGGCAATGCCAGCACAGACTTTTTGAGTACAGTTTTCAGTTACATTGATTGCTTCTGTCACACATCACTTTATCTTCTTAGTGTGTTTTAGAGGTTTTAGTCTGTGGTTTGTTTGTTCCTGTAGAATGGACTTGTGATGCAGAAATCATGGTGGTAGGAACACATGGTGAAGGGAGCTGAAACCTTAGTGCCGTGAGGAAGTAGTCAGGTCCATTTAAGTAACAACTTCTATGTTTATGATACACATATATGTCCTGAGCTTGGCTTCTCATTCCTAAATCCAGACTTGTATACCCAGCTGTTGGTCTACTTTTTAATCTCTCTCTATCTGACTAGTTTACTTAAAATACAGTATGTAAAATTTTGCTCCAGATTTAGTCATAAACCTGTTCATCGGGTTTTTGGAGTTTATTTTTTAGCTCAGGCTAAAACTTTAGTACATTCTTAAACTTCTTTTTCTCTCCTGCTGTACCTCTTATCCATCAGCATATCTGTTAAGTCTATCCCAGAACATTTCCAAATACTGACAATTTCTGGTCTGGGATTAGATTGAGTTAAGGAAATCCTTTGAGATGCCATTGAAATTTCACCTTAAATATCAAAAGGGAAATGGTTTTGTGAAGATGTAGATGTTACATCTTTGCATTTGTTTTTTTGTCTTCCCTTTTTTATTCCTGTGATATTTTTTCACAATGAATGTACTGGAGCTTAAACTCAGGATCTCATACTCTTCCTTAGCTTTTTTTTTTTTTTTGGTCGGTCGTCGGGCTTGAACTGTGGGCCCTTATGAACGCTGTCGCTGTCCCTCAGCTCTTAAACTCAAAGGGAGTGCTCTACCACTTGAGCCACAGTGCCACTTCTGGTTTTCTGGTGGTTTATTGGAGAAGAGTCTCATGGACTTTTCCGGAAAAGCCTGGGCTGGCTTTGAACTGCGATCCTCAGATCTCAGCCTCCTGAGTAGCTAGGGTTACAGGCATGAGCCTTGGGCACCCGACAGCTTTTTTTTTCCCCTTCAAGGCTGGCACTCTACCACTTGGCCATACTTCCACTTCTGACCTTTTGGTAGTTAATATAAGATATATGTAAGCAAGGATACTTGTGTAAGATATTAAAACACTCATCCCAATTTTCTTTCCTCTCCCTATCAGTTTTGAAAAAATAATACAGAAGAGGGGCCTAATTCCAAACAGAGCTCTTAAGAGTGAATTCTTGGGAGTAGGTTTGAAATTGGGTTAGACATTTGTTATCCTTGCACATGTCCAGTGAAAATCTAGGGACCATGTGGCCAGCTGCTTGCCACTGTGGGGTTCCAAAGATACTTTGCATTTAACTGGGTTGATGGGGTAGCAGACAAAGTGCCTGGGCCATAGCTTGTACTTTGGCAACAGCATCTTGGTGCCTGGGTACATAATTGTGCCTATCAAATAGCATTTCAAAACTAGTAAGTCAGCAAAATTAAAAATATGAATCATGAGAATATGAAGCATGACTTTAGGAATGCAAATTGGTACAGCCACTTTCATTTAAAATTCAGTTTGTTACTTTAGCAATTCTGTTTCTAGTGATTTATTGTAGAGGAATTTTTGCAGATTTGGATAAGAAGACATACTGTATAGTTTGCCAAGCATCAGCATTTGAAAGTAAAAATGAATAGATATATGGATAAGTAAATATATATATACATATGCATATATATATATTATATATATATATATATATATATCTGTTGGTGGTGGTGGTTGTGGGGCTTGAACTCTGGCCCCTGCACTGTCCCTGAGCTCTTTAGCTCAAGGGGAGTGCTCTTGAGCCACAGTGCCACTTCCAGTTTTCTGGTGGATAATTGGAGATAAGATTTCTCACATAGTTTCCTGCCTGGGCTGACTTTGAACCATAATCCTCAGATCCCAGCCTCCTGAGTAGTTATTTAGGATTACAGGCGTGAGCCACTGGCACCCAGTTGCAAAAATATATTTTAAAGGAATTAATTAGCTACAGTGAATAAACCACAAATGAAATAGGTGTATCAAAATAGACATTAAAATATTAAATGAAGCCAGGAACTGGTGGCTTACATCTGTAATCTTATCTACTCAAGAGGCTAATATCTAAGAATCACAATTCGAAGCCAGCCTGGGCAGGAAAGTCCGTGAGACTCTTTAACTCCAGTCAACCACCACCGTAAAACTGGAAATAGAGCTGTGGCTCAAAGTGGTTGAGCATTACTTGAGTGAAAAAGGTCAGGGACAATGCCCAGTCCCTGAGATAAAGCCTCACAACTGACAAAAAAAAAATGTGTGTGTGTGTATGTGTGTATGTATTCAATAAATACAAGTCAAGTGTAGAATACTGATTGTATAATTTTAAAAGAGCTACAGAATCTTGCCATTTAAATGTACTTATATATAGCAATTGTCTAAAAACACAGAAGTAGGAAAGCATTTAGAATAATATTCATTTCTGAAAAGGAAGTAAGAGCAGTGGAGTTGGTCAGAAGCTCAGTAGCTAGATATGATTACAGCTGTAATCCTAATGGAAAGCTGAGGCAAGAAGACTTGGTTTAAGGCTAGCCTGGGCTATATAGGAAGACTCTATTTCAAAAAACAAGCTTAAAGAACCACTGGGGGTGAGGGGGATATGGCTTGGTGGTAGAGTGCTTGCCTAGCATGCATGAAGCCCTGAGTTCGATTCCTCAGTACCATATAAATAGAAAAAGCCAGAGGGCTGGGAAGGTGGCTCAGTGGTAGAGCGCTTGCCTTGCATGCCTGAGGCCCTGGGTTCGATTCCTCAGCACCACATAAGCAAAAAGAAAAA